TTTTCCGAAATGTCATTTTCTTTCGATTTTGGAGGCTACAGATCTCGGAACCAGGCCGAGGCTATTCTGCACCGATAATGAAGTCTATTGATCCTATTCTCCACGGATGATAAGTCCATTAAGCACCGATTTGGGGAAAAAAAAATTCGGATGGCATTTTCGTAATTTTGTGGGCGTTGAAAGGCCATTTTGTTTGGGCCAATTCATTTTCTGGTGCCATTTACGTAATCTTTGGGGCGAATTTTTTCGAAAAGGATGTTTTTCTTGGATTTTGAAAACTACAGATCACGGCTACATGAAGCACCGATTAGGGCGAATTCATTTTTGGATTGCATTTTTTTGTAATTTTTTGGACAATTATTTTTCGAAAGGCCAAATTCTTTGAATTTTATGGGCTACAGATCACGGATTCTGCCTGAGGCTATTATTTAATGATGATTAAGTCCATTAAACACCGATTTGGGCGGATTTCTTCCCAGTTCATTTTTGGCAGACTCCAAAATGGTAGCATCACTTGATTTCGGGCGATTTTCCCAAAATGCAATTTTCAGTAGAATTTGAAGGTTACAGATCACGGATTATGCCCGAGGCTATTTCCACATATAATAAAGTATATTGATCTTATTCTCCTCTGAAGATTAAGTCCATTAAATACAGATGTCGGTGAATTAATTTTCAGATGGAATTTTCGCAATTTTTGGGCAATTTTTTTCGAAAGGTCATTCCTTGGATTTTGAAGGCTACATATCACGCATTCGGCCTGAGACTATTCTTCAACAATGATTAAGTTCATTAAGCACCAATTTTGGCAGTTTTCTTTCACGTCCAATTTGGCATACTCCAAAGGGTTACGATCACTTTTTCGGGCGATTTTCCCGAAATGTCATTTTTTTATGATTTTTAAGGCTACAAATCACGGATTCAGTACGAGGATATTCTCCACAGATAATGAAGTCTATTCTATTGATCCTATTCTCCACCGAAGATTAAGTCCACAAAGCACTGATTTGGGCGAATTCATTTTCGAATGACATTTTCTCAATAAGTATCAAAGATAGGATAACGTGATTCAGCCTTGGATTTTGAAGGCTACATATCACGGATTCAGCCTTAGACTATTCTTCAATGATGATTAAGTCCATTAAGCACCTATTTGGGAGGATTTCTTTCGGGTCCACTTTTGGCTGACTCCGAAGGGGTACCCTCGCAAATTTCGGGCGATTTTTCCTAAATGCAATTTTCTTTAGATTTTGAAGTCTACAGATCACGATTTTTCCTATTCTCCACCGAATATTATGTCCATGAATCACCGTTTTTGGTGAATTCATTTTCGAGTGGCATTTTTTAAGTTTTATTTTGGGGGGGGGGGGGGGGAGGAATTCGAAATGTAATTTTCATTGGATTTTAAAGGCTACAGATCATGGATTCTGCCTGAGGCTATTCTTCAAAGATGATTAAATCCATTATGCACCGATTTGGGTGGATTTCTTCTCTGTCCATTTTTGGCAGACTCCAAAGGTGTACCATCACCGATTTCGGGCAATTTTTCGGACTTGCCTTTTTCTTTAAATTTTGAAGGCTACAGATCACGGATTTTCCTGAGGCTATTCTCCACAAATAATAAAGTCTATTGATCCTATTCTTCACCGAAGATTAAGTCCTTGAATCAATGATTTTGGTAAATTCATTTTCCAATGGTATTTTCGCAATATTTTTTTCAAAATGCCATTTCCTTTGTATTTTGAAGTGTATAGATCACAGATTCGGCTTGAGGCTATTCTTCAACGATGATAAAGTCCATTACGCACCGTTTTAAGCAGATTTCTTCCGAGTCCATTTTTTGCAGACTCCAATGGGGTACAATCACCGATTTCGGCCGATTTTCCTGAAATGCAATTTTCTTTAGATTTTGAAGTCTATAGATCGCAGATTTGGCTGATTCTCCACAAATAATAAAGTCTATTGTTCCTATTCTCCACCGAAAATTAAGTCCATGAATCACCGATTTTGACGAATTCATTTTCGGATGGCATTTTCGCAATTTTTTTGGCAATTTTTTCGAAATGCCTTTTTCCTTGGATTTTGAATGTTACAGATCACGGATTCGGCCTGAGGCTATTCATCAACGATGATTAAGTCCATTAAGAACCAATTTGGGCAGATTTCTTCACGATCCATTTTTTGGCAGACTCCATCATCGATTTAGGACGATTTTCCTGAAATGTCATTTTCTTTAGATTTTGAAAACTACATATCACGAATTTGCCGAAGGCTATTCTCCATAAATAATGAAGTCTATTGATCCTATTCTCCACCGAAGATTAAGTCCATGAAGCACTGATTTGAGCGAATTCATTTTCGGATGGCATTTTCGCAATTTTTTGGGGAATTTTTTTCTCGGAAGGCCATTTTCCTTGGATTTTGAAGGCTACATATCACGGATTCAACCTGAGGCTATTGTTCTACGATAATGAAGTCTATTGATCCTATTCTCCACTGAAGATTAATTCCATGAAGCACCAATTAGGGCGAATTCATTTTCGGATTGCTTTTTTAAAAATTTTGGACAATTTTTTTCTAAAGGCCATATTCCTTGGATTTTGAAGGCTACAGATCACAGATTCGGCTTGAGGCTATTCTTCAATGATGATTAAGTCCATTAAGCACCGATTTGGGCGGATTTTTTCCCCATCCATTTTTGGCAGACTCCAAAGGGGTACCATCACTTGATTTCGGGCGATTTTCCCAAAATGCAATTTTCAGTAGATTTTGAAGGCTATAGATAACGGATTATGCCCAAGGCTATTCTCCATAGATAATGAAGTCTATTGATCCTATTCTCCTCCGAAGATTAAGTCCATGAAGCACCGATTTCGGTGAATTAATTTTTGGAATGAATTTTCGCTATTTTTGGCCAATTTTTTTCGAAAGTGCATTTTCCTTGGATTTTGAAGGGTACATATCACGGATTCGGCCTGAGCTATTTTTCAACGATGATTAAGTTCATTAAGCACCAATTTTGGCAGTTTTCTTTCACGTCCAATTTTGGCAGACTCCAAAGGGGTACAGACTCCAATCATGATTTCGGTCGATTTTCCCGAAATGTCATTTTCTTTCGATTTTGAAGGCTACAGATCACGGATTCAGCCCGAGGTTATTCTTCACAGATAATGAAGTCTATTGATCCAATTATCCACCGATGATTAAGTCCCTGAAGCACTGATTTGAAGGAATTCATTTTCGGATGGCATTATCGCAATTTTTTTGGGAATTTTTTTCGAAATGCCATTTTCCTCGTATATTGAAGGCTACAAAATACAGATTCATCCTGAGACTATTCTTCAACGATGATTAAGTTGATTAAGCTCCAATTTGGGCAGATTTCTTCCGAGTCCATTTTTGGCAGACTCCAAAGAGGTACCATCACCAATTCCTTGCGATTTTCCCGAATACCATTTTCTTTAGATTTTGAAGCCTACAAATCACGGATTCAGCCTGAGGCTATTATCCACAGATAATGAAGTCTTTTGATCCTATTCTTCATCGAAGATTAAGTCCATGAAACACCGATTTGGGCGAATTCATTTTCTGATGACATTTTCGCAATTTTTTCGACAATTTTTTTCGAAAGGCCATTTTCCTTCGATTTTGAAGGGTACATATCACGAATTCGGCTTAAGGATATTCATCAACGATGATAAGTTCATTAAGCTCCAATTTGGGCGAATTTCTTCCGGTTCCATTTTTCGCATACTCTTAAGGGGTACCATTATAGATCTAGGGGGATTATTCCGAAATGCCATTTCCTTCCGATTTTGAAGGCTACATATCATGGATTCGGCCCGATGCCATTCTTCAACGATAATTAAGTCCATTAAGCAGTGGTTTGGGGTGATTTCTTCCGGGTCCATTTTTGGCAGACTCTGAAGGGGTACCATCATCGATTTGGGTGATTTTCCCGAAATGCTATTTATTTCGATTTTGAAGGCTAGAGATCACGGATTCAGCCTGATGTCATTCTCTACCGAAATGAAGTCTATCAATTCTATTATAACCAGGAATAGGAATCAAAATAACGATACGTAGCCGGATACGAAGAAATGACTTTTCTAGCCACCATGTGGGACAAGCCAAAATCGTTGATGGATAGCCTTTAAAATTGGTGAAAAATAGCATACCTAAAATCAAAGGGAATATGTGATGGATAGTCTTCAAAATTTGTGAATAATAACATTCATAAAAATTGGCAAAAATATGTGACGAATAGCCTTTGAAATCAGTGAAAAATAGCATTCCCACAAATCAACCAAAATATGTGATGTATAGCCTTTAAATTCTGTGAATAATAGCATTAAAAAAATCAGTCAAAATCTGTTATGGATAACCTTTAAAATCATTGAAAATAGCATTCCCACAAATCGACCAAAATCTGTTATGGATAGCTTTTAAATTTGATGAATAATAACAGTAATTTTTTTTTTGCCAAAATCTGTGATGAATTGTCTTAAAAACAGCGTAAAATAGCATTCCCAAAAATATGTCAAAGTTTGTGATGGGTGTAGCCTTCAAAATCAGTGAATAATAGCATTTCCCAAAAATTCCGGCAAAATTTGTAATAGATAGCCTTCGTGAATAATAAGATTCAAAAAAATTGTCAAAATTTGTGATAGATAGTCTTAGTTATGGTGACAGTTCTAGTTACAGTAATGTTGATCATTTAATCGGGGTAAATACCATTCGGGATTTCGGCGCAGACGACACTTTTTTAGTTAGGGATAGTAACCGAGAAAATTATTCCATATATTTTGATATTGAAACAAATCAAAATCTGTGATGCAATAAGCTTCAAAATCGGGAAATAATTGGAAAAAGAATATTTAAGAAGTGTGAATATTAATTTGGACGCAATGGAATGGAGAGAGGAGAGAGGAGAGAGGATTAAAGCTAAAGAAAAAGAATACATAATTTGGGGGGTCGATGAAAACAGCTAGCGTGCAGTACTGGTCGATTACCCAAACCAACTAACCTTCTTCTCTTCCCCCGGCCCCAACCGAACCCAATCAATCCATCTCCCTTTTTCTCTTTCTCTCTCTGGATCTCTCTTTTTCTTTGGTAATTCAACCCTCTCCTCTCCTCTGGTTGTTTCATTTCCTTCCTATACCAACCAACCAAATATCTCAGCAGCAGCTGGTTTTGCGGGGAAGGCATATATAGGAGGCGGAAGAGCTTAATTAATTGTTTGCGCAATCTAATAAAGGCGACATATATATATTACATCGATCTCTATTATCTATGGGTAAAATTAGCAGTGCAGCAGTGGAAGAGGAGGAGGAAGAAGAATCGCCGTTAGTTACCAATGATGATGAGCATCATCAAGCTATCATATCGACTGCAAGTTTATCTGCAGCTGTTTCATCATCATCAGAAGAAGAAGATCCAATCTCCCAGCAGAAACAGCTGCAGCAGCAGCAAGGCGATCTGGTTCACAGAACTGGTAAATTAATCAACATAATCCTTTTTCAATTTTCATTGAGTATTATCTATTTTTCATCCTGTAATTAAATTGGTAATTATTTTCCTCTGCTGGTTTTTTTGCTTTCTGGCTGAGAAATGTACGTCATCATTAATGGAAGATGCTGATGAACAAACGGTAAATAATGGGTAGAGAGAGAGAGAGAGAGAGGGTACTGTTAATCTATGTATCGTTGAAATGTCCAAATTAATTAACTGGCTTTGTTTTATTAGAACCCGCCGGCCGGGAAAGCAGCCAGCTAGCAGCTGGTTTGGTGATCGTGCTTTGAGTTTGTCTTTTCCGCACACAATTACATTAGAATGGTTAATTATTGGTTTGTTTGATAAAGAAAAATAAGGGCCAATTCCGTAGTGCTCACTTAACTTTGGACTCACCCTTGAGTCAGTCACCGGACTTGGTATTTTAACTAAAGTTCTCACAATAACTAGCTAGAAAGACAATCGCTTCATACATTGATATTATCATCCAGTCTTTCATTTAAATTGTTAATATCAGCATGTCAATTGTCAAATCAACCAAATTAGGAATAACAAGACAAATAAATAGTGGTGGAGGCACTGAAGCTTTATTTTTTCATTTAAGATTATAATATGTATATTAATTACGATTATTTTGTGTCTCTATTTCAATTCAAACACACATATATATATATAATATACATTATTGTGAGATTAAAAAAATATATATAAATAGGAACGAGATGGACGGCGGTGGCGCATATCATAACGGCGGTGATAGGGGCTGGAGTGCTGTCGCTGGCATGGGCGGTGGCGCAGCTTGGTTGGATCGCGGGACCATTGTCGATGATGGCCTTCGCTGGAATCACGTACGTCTCCGCCACCATCCTGTGCGATTGCTACCGTTACCCTGACCCTGAGGTGGGCCCCCGCCGCTTCCGCTCCTTCTTGGACGCCGTCCACCACTACCTCGGTACGTACGTACGTGAATTCTTCTTCCTGATCATCCCGTACGTATATGCAAGTGCAACACTAGTCTAGTCGATGTCGATCGATTTGTAGATGCGTAGGGTACATAAGGATGGATGCATGGTTGCAGGAGAAAGGAGCCACAAAGCTGGTGGAGTACTTGTCCAGGCAAACCTCTTCGGCACTGCAATTGCTTACACCATCACCTCCGCCACCAGCATCAGGTAGCTAGCTAGCTAGCTATGTTTCATGACATCATTCAATTTTATTTTATTTAATTTGCCACACGAATCAAGCTCGATTGCACTGTTCTTAATCATTTGATTAGCCGCCATTAATTATATGATTAATTATTGTGTGATGGATGGATGGATGGAGTATAGAGCCATCCGGGAATCCAACTGTTATCACAAGGAAGGGCACCAAGCTCCTTGCAACAGCTACGGGGACGGGTATAACATGCTGGCGTTCGGGGTTGTCCAAGTAGTAATGTCCCAGATTCCGGATTTCCACAACATGGAATGGCTCTCCATCCTCGCAGCCATCATGTCCTTTGCCTATGCCGTCATTGGATTCGGCCTCGGCTTCGCCAAAGTCATTGGTACGTACGTTCGTTCTATACTATATGTGTCCTACCTCTTTCACAATATATAATGGATACTTAATTGATTAATTAATTAATAATGGCTAGCTTGGCTTGGCTTGGCTTGGCTTGTGTTGAGTCTCAGAGAATGGAGAGATTAAAGGGAGCATGACCGGCGTGCCTGCTGCCAACACTGCCGACAAAATATGGCTAGCGTTTCAAGCCATTGGGGACATCGCATTTGCGTATCCTTACTCTCTTATACTGCTCGAGATACAGGTAGGTAGCTAATTACTTACTTACTTACTTACTTGCCATATATATGCTTCTTAATTAATTATTCAAAAACGACTTAATTATCATGCATCTATCTAGTTAACGATTTTTCTTCTTGTCATTAATGAATGTTAACTTATTATATTATATAGGACACTCTGAAGTCCCCGCCGGCCGAGAACAAAACGATGAAGAAGGCGTCGGTGACGGCAATATTCATCACGACCTTCTTCTACCTGGCGTGCGGGTGCTTTGGGTACGCTGCATTTGGAGTGGCAACTCCCGGCAATCTCCTCTCTGGCTTCGGATTCTACGAGCCTTACTGGCTCATCGACTTCGCTAACGCCTGCGTCCTTCTCCACTTGGTGGGTGCCTACCAGATGTACGCCCAGCCGGTGTTCGCGTACGCCGAAGCATGGTTCACCACCAACTTCCCGGACAGCAAGCTGGTCAACAAGCACTACAACCTCAGTCTCCCCTCCTCCAAACACGTGATCACCGTCACTGCTTTACGGTTGTGCTTCAGAACTGCATACGTGGCCGTGAGCACTGCCATCGCCATGTCCTTCCCTTACTTCAACCAGATTCTAGGAGTGCTTGGAGGCCTCAATTTCTGGCCATTGTCCATCTACTTCCCCGTCGAGATGTACTTGGTCCAGAGGAGAATTGGGGCTTGGACTAAGGAATGGGTCCTTCTCAGAGCCTTTAGCTTGGGTTGCTTGATTGTCTCCATTTTGGCTCTCATGGGTTCTATCCAAGGACTTTTCAGTGCCAAGTTTGGATGAACTAATTATCTAGTCTTGGAAATTATTGTTCTTGTATAAGCTAAGCAATTCTGTGTCTGTGTTGATATATATATATATGCTTCCTATCTGTACTTACAATAATAGAGCTTTGAAGTTTAAACTCTCTCTCAAAAAAAGAAAGGGTTAATTGTATGGTTGGTCACTGAGATTACCAAAAACGTTCATGTTTGGTCACTGGAAATATTTAAATCCAATTTTAGTCACTCAAATTAGTTAAATGGTTCAAGTTTGGTCACTCTCCGTCCAACTCCGTTAAATTTGTCTGATGTGGCAGTCAGCACTCAAAGTTGACCGTTAACTCAGTGACGTGACAATTAAAAAATAATAAATAAAATAAATTTTAATCTTCTACCATTTCCAACTTATTTTCATAATAAATTAAAATAAATAAAATAAAAAATATTATAATTACAAATTGAAAAGCCTTCCCGCAGCCAAACCAACACCCTATTCCCATCGACGGGGTTAACGAGGACGCCCTGCACGACGGGGTTAACAGGGACGGCGGCGACGGGCAGAGCTAGGATGGGCAAATCCTCTCTCCTGCAACCCATGCAACCGACAGCCTCTTCCCTCCTCCAGCCGGTTCGCCGCCACCAGCCCCATTCCTTGCGGAACGACCATCACCGTCGGCGTCCTGACCGAACAATTCCTAGTAAATATCGACGACATCCCTGGGCTTGAATCTGAAGACACGATTGGCTTGTTGGAATGAGAGGCAGGGGAAGGTGGGGCAAAAACCCATATTTCAAATCCAAGCGAGCTTGATTTGCGGTGTTTGGTTCATCACTCTCTCTATTTCCCCATATTTCCATTCCTAAATTGAAAAACCATCCACCACCACCACCTCCGCCGATTCGTCTATCAAACCACCACCGAAAAAGAGGGAGGAGAGGGCGTCGATGGGGTTAACGGAGGAGGAGCGGGTGTCGAGATAGACAAGGGAGAGAAGGATGGGAATAGGGTGTTGGTTTGGCTACCGGAAGGCTTTTCAATTTGTAATTATAATATTTTTTTATTTTATTTATTTTACTTTATTGTGAAAATGAGTTGAAAATAGTAGAAGATTAAAATTTATTTTATTTATTATTTTTTAATTGCCACGTCACTGAGTTAACGGTCAACTTTGAGTGTTGACTGCCACATCAGACAAATTTAACGGAGTTGGACGGAGAGTGACCAAACTTGAACCATTTAACTAATTTGAGTGACCAAGATTGGATTTAAATATTTCCAGTGACCAAACATGAACGTTTTTTGTAATCTCAGTGACCAACCATGCAATTAATTAACCCAAAAAAGAAATATTAGCTCTCAAATATGAAGGCCAACAGAAAGGCCCAAGAATCCAAAGCCCCTCCCTTATCTGTGCTGCAAAGTGAAGGCCCAATAAAAACACCCTTCATAAGCCCCGTTTTCTCTACAGAAGGGACAAAACTCGGTAAGAAAGGGGGTTTTATTTGGGCCTTCAGTTTGCACCATGGATGAGGTTGAGATGTATGAGATCTCAGATTCAAACCTGCTACACCACTTGGTTCTCTTGAATACACCCTGAGTGCAGGTACTCCTCAAATTTAGTAGACCACGCTATATTTTTGGGTAATAAAAAAAAAATTGTCATCAATTCCAACTCCAAAATCTCTGAATCAATCAACGTGAATAGCATGTGTTACAATATTTTTATATTGCTATATATACAATCATTTTATTTTTAGAGGGTTACTATTTGCCGCCCGTGTCATTACTATTTGCCGCCCATAGTTATAAACAAAATTACAATTTTACCCTTCTTTCAATTCGCCGCCGGCTCTGCCTTCCCTCCCGTCGCCAACTGCTCCCGAGGTCGGAGTCTGTCTCCCCACCGCCTCTGCCTACTCACCTCCCTCCGATCGGCGGCGGCGGACCCCGTCCGACCGGCAGCGGCGGACGGCCCCCAATGCATTTTTTTTCTTTTTTTTATTTAATTACCTAAACTGATTCTACTCAACCGACGGACATAAATACGGGAACTACCTAAAATAATATCTTGAATGTGGATTTTATTGTTAATTAGGGGAAATAATTGTCTTAATTAAAATTCATGGCAGTAAGCCAGTAAAGAATTCGGATTCCAATATGGGTAATTAATTATTAAAGTCTGATTCCCTTAACTCCGTTGTAGCAATCAAAGAGCCATTAAGAATAAAAATTGTAAAAACATTATTTGGTAAGTTAATTAGAGAACTGAATTTAGACGTGGGTTATGGCCTATGGGGAGGTGAATCCATTATTTAATAACTAATTACCATAAATTATAAGAATAACAATTAATATATAATTAATTTAAATATGTATATTTAAGTATAATTATAAATTATCACAAAAATTCTACAGAATATATTCTTTGGTATTTTGTAATATGCTTACTAGAAGGATGTATATTTAATTATTAATTATCATAAGTATTCTAAAAAATTATGGATAATTAATTTAAATTATGTAGAATGGTTATAAAATACTTATTAAATTTGTTTAAACCTTTTTTAATTACATTAATTTCATAGTTAATTAGATCATTCCTAAGCTACGTTTTATCAAACATTATCCAATGAATCGGGGATCGGAGAGGGCTCTTTGTGGCTTGTTGAAGGTCGAACAAAAATATATTTTCGCAATTACTAGAGACATGGACATGAAAAATGGTTGAAACCCTCACCGATCCCTTAAAATGTGGAGAGGATTGTGGTGGAATCAACCGTTTCTCGATTTAATGTCCCGATAAAAAAAAGATGAATAGTGTCGAAATTTCCTTCTTAGTTTTTGGAGGCTTCGTGGATCGTAACGAGGTGTTTCTTGAGCCTACTACGCGTATTTCGATGATGCGAACAAATGTTGTTAGTGGTGGTAGAGATGATTTTTCTTCTAAAACAATGTCGTAGTAGGAATGAATGGATTGAGGTTTCAGTTAACTATTTTGTTGGAATAAGGGTTTAGGGTTTGGGAGGGATAGAAGATGTACATTGGGAAAGAGATGTTTTGCTTCTTTGTATAAGTTAACGAATATACCTAATTTACTTATTATATCATTATACTATTGATCAAATGCTAATCTCATTAATCTATAATCCGGTCACACCATATATTAAAATAATATATCTATAATTTTATCATTAAGTTAACCCATACCCACGTATTGTTTCATTAAGTAATTTTTTTGGATTGTCTTTAATAATAAAAAATTTCCTTTTGATGGGCTTAGTCGTGTCAATTAGGGAATTGAACCTAGACGTGGGTTAATTAGGGATGTTAATGGGGGAACTAATTACTATATTTAATTATTTCCATAATTACCGTAGGATGTTAATTAGAGAAATAGATATATATATATATATATGGGTTAATTAGAGAAATTTTGGTATTTAATATTAATTAAATCAAATCCTAATCTGGGTCAAACCCTTCTTTTTGGATTCGTTATTTTTTGGATCCGTTACGCAAAAAATAAAAAAATTACCTTAAGTGATTAAATTAAAATCACCTACTACTATTAAAATAGATAATTAATTATTAAATTTTGGTTCCCCTAATTCCGTTGGTAGAATTAAGGAAAGATTGATTTTGTTGTCAATTATTATCATAATCCATTTTTCTGTTTCCAATTGATAACAATCTTAAATAATATTAAAGAAAAATTAATCTGTATTACAAAAAAAAAAAAAGTTAACTCCGTCCGACTCTTGCCGGCGGCCCCCGTCCGACTCCCGGCGGCGGACCCCGTCCGACTCCCGGCGGCGGACCCCGTCCGAACTCCGGCAGCGAACCCCGTCCGAATTCCGACGGCGGACCGAGCTTCTACGACCGTCGGATTGCAAGCGTCAGCCTACCCATCTCTGTCGTGAGGTGAGGGAGGGGAGGGGAACAACGGTTGTGGTTTTGGGAGGGAGGGAGTGAGAAGGTGACGGGCAGCGGAGGTGGTCTCTGGTGACTAGGGTGGTTGGCGGCGGAGGTTGTTTATAGTGGCCGGCGGCGGAGATTTTACAGGTGGCCGGCGGCCATGTTTGGGAGGGAGGGTTGGGGATAGATAGGTTTAGGGTTTAAATTAGAGAAGGGGCAAATTCGTCATATTTTTTGTAACTACGGGCGGCAAATAGTAAAAGCACGGGCGGCAAATAGCGATTCATTATTTTTATGGCTACCCACCTAGCTAGCTAATACCCTCGCCGACCATCGATCATGCTCTTAATTAAACTAATTAATCCCTCTTTTCCTTCCTTGTTTCTTTCCTTGGCTTCAACGCTCTGTTGGTTCACTTCGACCACATCGATCTCTCTCATTCGGCAGCTACGTAGCTGGGTTCGCAGGAAAAAGAAGAATTAGAAGGGAGGCAGCCGCCTTCTATCTAGCAACAGTACCTAGTAGTGGTACAGTGCTGGGGGGGGAAGAAGATATATGGAGGAAGATCTGTGGTCGCCATTAGTGATTAATGATTACCAAGCTGGAAGTAGTAGTATTACTGTTGCTGCTGTTTGCAATCCATCTTCCTTACCGTCAGAAGAGTCCGACCTCGACATCTCAAACCACAAATGGCAGCTGCCGCCCGACCTCGTCAACCGAGCCGGTAAGTAATTAATTTATTGATTCGATCGTCCTTCGTCTACCTTTTTATTCTTGGTTTGAACGTCAGAAAATGATGGACTTAATTGATCGGAAAGAATTGTTTAGTATTTGTGTGCAATGATTTGTTTCTTAACTGAGGTGAGCTGGTTGGCACATGGTGTGTCGTTTCCGTACGTAATTAATTCTTTACTGGTTTGGATTAATTAATAACTACTCATAAAAATGAACAAAGAGGAAACCGAGACAATATTGTTTTTCCTGAAAATTGGGAGCAGATCCGGTGAGTAACCTTATGGTGAGTAACCCTATGCATAACCTAATAAGAATCTGTCACATCAGCGCTTTCTTCTCTCTCCTGAAAAAATCATTAATTTTTTTTTCTTAATCTTTAACGGACGATTTCTCACTCGTTTTAACTCGGAATTTAATTTTTTTTTTTTGCACAGTTAGATCAGATTAATTGTCGTCTTCAAAATGATATCCACTTTAATATTTTTTGGAACCAAAAACATTTACCAATTATTACCAGTCTATACCACATGGTATAGTCAATACCATATGGTATTAACTGGTATTAAATAACAGCATACCATATGGTATGAAAAATACCAGTCAATACCATATGCTATTATTTAATACCAGTCAATACCATATGG